GTGATTGTAATAAAACGGGTTAATGAAAGTTTTCAAATCTTGTGATTCCCTGTATCATCTGATTAATGTTTCGATCTGTCTAGGTTCAATGTCCCCAAGGATTTGAAGGGGATATTCCTCTGGATCGGTATATTCCTCAATATTGCTAATTCGGTATCTTGATGTTTGATAGGTGCAGATAACAGTTCGATTTTGGGCCAAATGGAATTAGCAGCCCAGAGCATCAACTGGACTTTTTGTCATCCGACGTGATGCACTTTGATGTTCTCTGGAGTAGACTTGCGTGAAGCTGCTCAAAGTTCTCTTGCGAACAAAGGAGACAACGAGGTTATTGCTTTTTTACTTTGTTCCCCATTCTTGTTTGATGTGCATTTAATACTGTTGCTCTTTTCATGTGCTTGGAGATGGTGCCTGGGGATAATTGGCGGTTCGATTCTAGGCGGAAATACAAGCATGTATTCAATTGGGGGGAGCTTGTGGCACCTGTTAATTAATCTTGTTGCCCTTTTTTGCAGGTCTTCAACTACCTTTGTAGCACGGGATTTTCGTATCGATTTATCACCAACAACTCTATAGCCAACAAGATTTGAGTGAAACCGGTAGATTCTACATCCCTGTGCCAGAATCCTTACAATACTGGTCTTTGTTTTCGTGTGAACATCATGTAATTATAATGTTCCCTTGATCATTCCTGTTTACCGATAGTGCCACAAATGCTAGCTCTGGCTTGATGCGACTTAGCATTGATTTTTGATACTTTCCTTGTTTTACTGATAATTCAAATCTTTATGATGGATGCAGGTTAGTTCAAAGTCCGCGTACGCTAAACGCAATTATTGTTGCTGCAAGGTGGGGTGAACTCAAGTATCGAACATGTCGCCTCGATCCACAGAACGTGATAGCAGGATAGGTGGAATCGTTGGACCTACATATGGTGTTGATTAAATAACTGAGAGTTTTCAAGCTCTGCGCCACGAACGTACCAGTTCAAAGTTCAGAACAAGGACCACCTAAAGGTAAAAAAACACGGCCAAGCGAAACATTAAAACACCAACATGTCGGTAGCTAGTTCGGTCTTTACTACAATAATGTCTGCTTGAAATCATCATGTTTGCAGGTATAGAGCTTCATCAGCAGGACTCAGCCTTTGATAACAGTTAGTTTACTAACAGCGGCGAGAGATGTGGCTTTGGAATGGTTTGAGAAGATTTTGGTTTCTTGGTGATTAAATCTTCTTTTGCATAACGGGGCCAGTGGAGTTGCTGCGAGACTTTGAGTAGTTATCCTATTCTGCTTGGACAATATTCTCAGGATATGCAAGTTACGTGGTTTGGCCGGTTTAATTACTTTTTGTTGGCCATAGTGTCGTGGCTGTTGTGGTAATCAAATATTCTCGCATTTTGCAGGTGCAGTGATGGTTACGCGTAGAGAAAATAGGGTGAAACCGAGGATTAGGCAGGATCACAACGGGCCAGTAATTGTCATGCCAGTGTGGTAGCACTTGGTGTTGTGAGACGGCATTATGTAGTCATAACTTTTCGACATTATATTCAAATTCTCGCAGGTTGCATGATGTTGCTTAGAGGACAGGTTGTGATGTGTTAACTCTTAACAAATTTGAATCTTGTCTCGCAGCTACCGCGACCGTCTCTCTCATTCAACTCAATAAGCTTGGTTACGTTTGACAGCGCGTGGTGAGTTGAGCTTCTTACATTTCCTGTCAAACATTGCCAAGAATAGCTTTGTTAAGTTCTGAGAGCTTTATCTGATTCGTGAGCTGCTTCATTCAGGGGAACCGAGGCGTGTTGTATGGAGCTGCAATTGAGGATATTGAGAGAAGGCAACATCAATCTGAGATCCGGTTGAACTTCCATTACTGTACTGAGTTTAGAATGAAGTATGGGTTCGTATTGTTGAGTAAAGAACCTTGGATTTCGGTTGGATTTGATTTATTTTGCAAGTTTTCAATGTAAATTCTGGATATAGTATTATGAACTTCGATGTTTATTGCGAATTTTGTCCCATGAATATAGTGGTAGCTTTGCCGTTTGAATGTCGGAGTTTTCCCTACTTTCAATTGTAATGTTTGGATGGTTCAGTATAATCCACGAATTCAATTCCTTATGGTTTGTGTTTGAAGTATTTGCTTTGAAACCATTGTTGTAACAGCCCCCCCCCCCCCCCCCCACACACTTTAAATCTCGCAGCACATTACTAATAACTTGGTCTTTGAGTTAGAGTCCACTCAAATTGAATTTAATGACATTGCTGGACACATCTTGAATTTGTACTCAACTCGATAAAGATATATAGTTTCGAGTATCCTTCGAAATCTTGATAACTTATATTGAGAGTAAACGCATGAACCTTGATAACGACTCTGCCCTTGGTACCATAATTGGTTTCTTGCACTTAGTTCACCTAAATCAAGTGTCATGGTATTCTGCTCTTGAAGTATTTAATATGCTTAGAAAACAAAGACCTCCTTTGACCTTAGAGAGACGTAGGCAAAGATTCCACTGAGATATCCCTGGTTAGGATCCACTGGTTATGCCTTGAAATGCTTGGACGTGAGAATGAATACCCTTCGCTTGCGTCTGTACCAAACAGTTAGTCGTAATAAATGCAAACAAAAGTATGAATATAAAAGAAAACTGAAAAAAAAGAGGTGAGATCTTAAGGTCAAAAATTAGGGTGCAACACAGGGGATATTTATCTATTAAGTTGCACCCTCTTGTAGTCCCCTGAATTGATGACTAGATACGGGAGAGGCCCTGCCTTGGCTTGTACGAAGAATGCACTCGAATACCATCGCAATACCGTCGGGATTTTGTTTCTCAGCATACCCAGAGATTGTACACATTCGTCTTTGAATACCCCGCAAGTGCATAGACGTTCATGTCCTTGCGTTTGTTGTCTTCTGAACTCTTTCGTCCTACAAGAAAAGCAAGCAGTATAAGGTGGTGAAGTGCGATTTGCCAGTTTCTCGTGCTCAACCACTGTGTTCAAGGAAAGTCGGTACCACCAAGCTTCTATGTTAACTACATTATTCTGCAATAATCACAGACAATAATGAGAAAGGTTACAAATTCTCATCCACCATATTCAAAACAGTTCAAAACCTTCTAAAAAAACCAAACCTTCTAAAAGTACTTGTCGATTGAATTCCGAGTACTTGAGCCTTTCTCTTAAGACGATGCAAAGACTATTTTCCTACAAAGTTGTGGTGGTTAAATCAAGTAATCTCCCTTAAAATGACAACTCATCTTTTCTTCTAAAATCAATCAATCAACTACCTTTGTCCCGTAGAAACTTTGACCACGGTCAAAGAACTCCTCAAACCTTTTAGCGGAACTACAAATACTCTGATTCCACTCCCGTAAGGATATGTAGGCATGAGATGCGATATCTTATCGAGTATACTTAGAAATAAACCCCTAGGTCTTTTATCCTTAAGCAGATAAACCTTAGCAATAAAACAAACATAAAACAAGAGGTTCCTGTAGAGTACTACAGAAACTTAGGATGCTAGCACCTTCCCTAAGTTTAACCAACCCCCAAACCTAAAACTCTCTAGCTTGCATTTGCATTGCATTGTGGGTATTTCGATCTTTCTCTCTTCCTTTGGACAAATCAAAGTTCGATTGCAAATGAATAAGATTCAAGCTCATCAATAGCTTGGTATCCAAATTTCACCGCGGCACCTTCACAAAGCCTCTACATCAAGGCCCTTTCATCTCTAACGTGTCAAAGTTAGATATATGTAATATATACAGTCCAACTTAAGGGGGGATGTTATATTAGTTGTTTACTTGTTATGCAAGTTTTCTATTTTCTCTTGCTTTGTAATTCAATAAGTTAGTTAGAGTATTTAGTTGGTTGTCAGTTAATTTAGTTATCAACCAACTTCTTTTGCGCTCTCTATGAAAGGAGTCTCTCCTTTGTAATCTTTTATGTAAGCTTTATCTTGCTTTTCAATAATAATAAATACCTTAACTTGCAAGTTACCCTACCATATTAACAGACACCATCTCCAATATCATTTAGTGGTTTAGAATTACCTAACTATTTTTCACATTTGTGATTGTTTTTCAACCGTAATAACTACTTTCGTAATTCTTAGTCTTTAGAATCATAACGTTGAGTAAAAAATAAAAAACTCAACTTGATCAAATCCTCGATGAAAACATTACTTAATTTTTAATTTTTCGTCAACCATATAATAAATGTTTCGTTAGGTAAACTAAAGCAAAAGCAAAAATGTCAAACAAAACATTTTGGACCAACTCCCACTTCATTCAATTTTCTTTCACATTTAAAATTCCGTCCAATCTATAGATATTTTATTGAATCTTCATAAATAAAAAATCTACAAAATGATAAACTTAACTTCAAAACTGATTAAAATTAATTACTTTTGTTGATATCATAAAGCATTTTTGCTTAAACTTAGAAAAATATCATTTATTTTTACGTAACTCTTCTTTCAAGCAAGAGGTAATTGCTTAAGCCACGCGTAACTCACCAAAAAGATCTTAACTCAATCCTAACCGTCCATCAGATTCGGAATCTAATCTACATTCATCAACCGTCCAGATTCTCCTAAAAATCACTTTGGCGAATATAGCATCACCACGTAAATAGCTGGGTCCCACACCTTACGTGTAATCCTAATCCATTTCAGGTTTTTCATCCCAAAAACAGTAGCTAAAAAGTAAAATATAGAATCTCACCCAATTATTTTTCGCCACATGGCATTCCGACATAAACCACCGACTTCGTCCTCGTAAAACATAAGTACTTTTTGGCATTTTTTTTTGGTTTTGATTTTGTGAATGTGAAACACAAATCTCTTCATAAACCTTCATTCAAATTTGTTGTGTTTCACTTTGATCCGATTCTAGGTATCGTTAATTTCGTTCATTTTCTGCATATTTTTTGATTTGTTATTCAAAAGATTGAATTTTGAAGAGGGGTTTCAAGAAAGAATAAAACTTTGGATGAAAAAAATTAACTCCATGATGCAACGTTTGGTTGATCATGTCCTCGTCGTCACTAAAGAGTAAGTTGGACATTTGTTTTTGTTTTTTTTAATGAAGTTTTGTTGTGTAATTAGATTATTATTATTAAAAGGGTTTTTGATGAAATGATTAAATGATAAGCAAATTTTTGGTGAATTTTTGTTGTTGGATTCTGCTGATTCTGGAGGATATTATATTCAATAAATGCCGAATGGGTATCATTTGATTGTTTAATGGAGTTAAATTTCCCTTTTGGTTCTGTTATACTTCAATGATATCCACCAATTTTCAAGCATGTTTTCATTTTTTTGGCTAAAATTTTGCTTAATTTGTTGGAAGGAAATTAGCAAAACAAATCATGTTTGTTAGGGTTTTAATGGTTTTCTCTGCAGGTCAGTGAAAGCTGTTACTTGTGAGTCATTGAACAATATTGTTAGGATAATCAATGGAGTATCTGCACTTTTGTTGGCATTACTTCCTGGAAATGCGAAAATACTTGAAGGTATTCATGGTTGGGAACTCCGACCGACTTTCCGAGGACCACGGTTTCCGCGTTGGATGGAGAAGTAAGACTTTTCGTTATCATGTTAGTAGGCTATAGCGCGACGTTTTGGTGTAAAATGCTGTCAAATAAGGATGCTATTTTCTTCTCCGTGTTTTTTTCTTTTTGCAGTGGCGCGTCCTCTTTCAACCAATTCATCCATGAACTTTCCATGGATTCGGATAACTCAAGCCTTGAATACTCGTCTTCCGGAGAAGAAGATAGTGATAGATATGAATGCCCTCCGTCTCCGGCATCTCATAGTTCTAGAGCTTCTGAAGCTGCTTTTGCTAGAAACAGTAGACATCAGATGAACTGGATCCAATATATCTTACTTTGGATTTTACTTCCTGTAAAATTCTTGCTGAGGATTCCGTTTCGACTTCTCCATTTAGCTTATTTTGTGGTGTTAAAAGCGCTACATATCTCTAGAGAGAAACGCCCTTCACATTTACATGCATATAGGAGAGTGCAAAGCATCAAGGATCAATTTATCCACCGTGCTACTGATAGGAGACGGGGCATTGTAGAGGTTCATAGCAACAATTTCTATTGACTAAATTTTTCATTATGTTTATTAAGATATTTTGCACTGTCAATAAATCGTAATCGTCAAATATTGCTAAGTAAATTTATTGTCAAACAGGATCTTCATCTCGGCATAGAGATATGTATAGAAACTGTCTTCGATTTTGTTCGCAAAGGAGCACATCTTCTTCTATCTCCGACAAAAGTTTTAGGTGCATTATTTAGGTTGTTTTTGTCTCACAAAAGTGGCAATGACGAAACTCGCACTTCTGCTGAGGATGCATCGACTTCTACATCCACGCTAGGGGACGGAGACCCTGCATCTTCTGAGAGGAAAATCAACTATCAGTCTTTGAATACAGAAGCCCGGACATGTCAGGATGTCATAACAGATCTCGGGTAATTTTGTCGTGTAGCTTCCTTCATATACAATCTAAATTGCTTGCAGCCAGAAATCTCACACATCCGTGTAGCCAGAACATCGGTGGTTGTTGGATCGAGTCCAAACGGTTCAAATTTTATATCAGATTTTCTTTATATTTTACGAGCTTGAAATCTAGACCGTCTGATCTCAATCTAACAACCACCTATGTGTTGGTTTGTTGATTACAAGCAATCCAAAATTCCTTTATATATGTTATCGTTTTATTTTGGCATCTTATTTTCCAACTTCATGATTTCTCATTATTCTTGTGACAGGTATCCATACGAAGCTATTCACGTGATTACTGCTGACGGCTATATTCTTCTTTTGGAAAGAATACCTAGGTAAAACATTCACTTTTTACTGAATATTAAATGGATCTTCGTCGATTCAATGAAATACCGAGTTCAGCACTTATTTATGACTAGCGTCCAGACGGGTACTCCCATGACCGTCTGTCTGTTTTCTTTAGTATGCACACATGTGAAAATATAAACGGAATTTTACTACTATGGAATTCAGAAATGGATATGTCTAATCCTGTAATCTGATTTCACAGGCGAGATGCTAAAAAAGCTGTTTTTCTTCAGCATGGTGTTTTTGATTCATCAATGGGGTGAGTTATGTTATCTCTATTTTGCTCGGTTCTTGCTTGATTATGCGATTTAATTTACTTATACAAGTTCAAGGATTTATTTAGTATAGTATACACGTTTTAAACTCATTTGGAAGAAAAATATTTCTGTGATTCAGTTAACTTATAAACTTTTTTTGTTTATTTTGATTCAGTTGGGTATCGAATGGTGTTGTTGGATCTCCAGCTTTTGCGGCGTATGATCAAGGTTTGTTACATATGTCAAGTTAATATATGTGCTGTCGTAACAATTTTTTTCTGGAATTATTAATGTAGAGTTTTTGTTCTATCTGCAGGGTATGATGTATTTCTTGGAAACTTTCGCGGTTTGGTTTCGAGAGAACATGTCAACAAGAACATATCATCGCGCCAGTAAGTTCTCAAAACAAATCTCATTGATGCTGTTTTGTTGAATAAACTATGTGATTTCTGTTTTGTTGTTTGAGTTTGATTTGACATAATCTGGTTTTGTATCTTATGCAGATATTGGCAGTACTCGGTCAACGAGCACGCGACGGAGGATATTCCTGCTATGATAGAGAAAATCAATGAAGTGAAAACTGCTGAATTAAAGCTTAGTAAACCTGATATCGAGGAGGAAACCGATGACGATCAGCTTTACAAGCTTTGTGCAATTTCTCATAGTTTAGGAGGAGCTGCTATGATAATGTATATTGTTACGCGAAGGACAGAAGAGAAGCCACATAGGCTTTCAAGATTGATTTTACTATCTCCGGCCGGTTTTCACGATGATTCTAACATAGTTTTTTCTATGGCAGAGATTCTATTAACTATTGCCGCTCCCGTTTTGTCTCATGTTGTGCCTGCGTTTTATATACCTACACGATTTTTTCGCATGCTTGTCTTTAAGTTAGCTCGGGATCTTCATAATCTACCTGCAGTTGGAGGACTGGTTCAAACCTTAATGAGTTATGTTGTTGGTGGAGATAGCTCAAATTGGGTCGGAGTTTTAGGACTACCGCACTACAACATGAACGACATGCCAGGAGTGTCTTTTCGAGTTGCACTCCATCTTGCACAGATTAAACGTGTTGGAAGGTTTAGAATGTTCGATTACGGGAGTGCCTCTGCCAATAGACAAGCGTACGGTTCGCCTGAGCCTTTGGACTTAGGTAAACACTATGGACTCATAGACATTCCTGTTGATCTTGTTGCTGGACATAAAGACAAAGTTATAAGACCTTCAATGGTAAAGAGACACTATAGATTAATGAAAAGTGCCGGTGTAAATGTTTCTTATAACGAATTTGAATATGCGCATTTGGACTTCACGTTCTCGCACCGGGAAGAACTCTTGTCATATGTTATGTCGCGTATGTTGCTCGTTGATCCGAACTCAAAGCATCAAGTGAATCAAAGGATTGCGAAACCGGAGTGAAACCGACTAGGTGAAGCTAGCGAGTAGTTTATTCAAATGTTGTCGCACTGGAAAGCTAGCCGAGTCGAGTCGATAAGTTAATATTTTTGGGTGTAAACAACAGTTCTTTCCTGCTATGTACTTTTGCCATTTGTATGATTAATTATAGAGCTGTTATGTTCAAATTTACATGTTGTAAAGCAGTGTTCTGATTATGAGAACTGAACATAGGATAAGAGTGTAGTTTAAATTTGTATCATAGTAACTCACTAGACTCTTGTGGCAATTTGATGTTGTCATTTCACTGGACTTCAGATATGGAATTCTATTTTCTCATAGTTGAGGAAAATGATTTTCTCAAAGTTTGGTTATGACACACATTTGCTTGTAATAAATTTGAAATTATCTAAATATACCTTGTTGATGTATGTAGTCATGCATGATGTGTTTCATTTTTTGTTCTTAAGGACTTGTGTTTCTCTATATATAAAAACTAATTGTATAGATTCAGCTTCTATAAATAATAAATATAATTGTATAAAGACCAGTAAATTATAAGTGTTGGGGTAATCTTATAACTTTCCTATTTATTTATTTCTTATATAGTTTTTTTAATTATAATAATTGACATAGTATGAAACACTACGAACTAACCATAGATTAACCAGTGCTAAATCTAAAATGAAAATATAGATTTGTAAGCGATAAATTCTGTCCGGAAGAATTTTGGGATCACTGGATAGAAAAAATATTGAATATTATTATAATGAAAAGTTAAATACATAAAAAATAATTTTAATGAGCTTTTAATTCAAAATAGAAATAAAAAAAATTCTAATTGATATTTAACTCAAAACAGAAATAAAATAGAAAATTGAAAAAATATTAAAATATTGTTTTCGGCCTTCTGTCTCCTTCACCTTCGAAAAACTCGATTCCGAGTTTTTTTCTTAATAAAGAGTCTCATATACTTGATACTCATGAATGTCAACAATATTGAAAGTAACGGATATATTCATGGAATCTGAGAGATCTATCATATAAGCATTGTTATTGATCTTCCGTGTCACTTTGAATGAGCCATACTTACATGGCCGAAGTTTACTGTAAGTACCAACTAGAAACTCTCTTTATGCAAAAACACCATCACGTTGTCTCCCACAATGAAAATTTTAACTTTCATGTGTTTATCTCATATAGGAGGTAAATTGTTTGGTAGTTCATCTGTAGGCAACTCCTTGACATCCCTTAGGATCCCTAACACTTCTTGTGAAATTGTTGTTTTCTCGTTTACAATACTCATCCCTTTAATCACCACTGGGCATAAAATTTTAGTTTCTTTAACAACCTCAAGCTCATCTTCACTCTGCATCATTACCAAAAAATTAGAATTCTTTTCTCATGAATTCTTATCAAAGTACAAAATAGGAGCCATAACAATTTTATGTGTGCCCCATGTAAACATCATCACGTTATTACGGGAAGGAGTCAAAGCTTATAGGCTATGGTGCCGAGAGCCAGGTCACAGGAGGTGTATTATCAGTCGAGATATAGTTTTCAATGAAGCGGAGATGGCTTTCAAGAAAACTGATGATGCTGACGAAGAGCTGGAACAGGGAGAGATTTCTGTTGAGGTGGGGCATGTTGATGCTGAATTGCGTACCCTAGATGAAGCTAAAGAAGAAGGAGAAGTTATCGTCGAAGATGAGGAGACTAATAATAACTATCTACTAGCAAGAGACAGGTCGAGGATAGTCATCAAGCCACCTCAGAGACTTGGGTATGCAAATCTTATAGCTTATGCCTTAAGCTCTGCAAGTGAGGTTCCCGATGAAGAACCTAGAGACTATAAGGAAGTTATGAGGAGTCAAAAGAAAACTGAATGGCTGAAGGCCATGGATGATGAGATAAATCTCTTCATAATAACTGATCAAGAAACCTGCTGGAGCCAAGTTAGTCATCTATAAATGGACTTTCAAAGTTAAAGAAGGAAACGAAGGAGTGGCATTGAAAAGATACAAGGCAAGATTGTTCGCTAGGGGTTTCACTCAAAAAGAAAGTGTCGACTTCAATGATGTGTTCTCTCCTGTTGTGAAGCACATATCCATTTGAATGTTGCTTGCCACGGTGACACAATTTGACCTTGAACTGGAACAGATGGATATGAAGACTGTGTTCTTGTATGGTGATCTAGATGAAACAATCTTGATGAGGCAACCTGAAGGGTATGTCGAAAAGAGGAATGAAGATTATGTGTGCAAGTTGAATAGATCCTTATATGGACTGAAACAATCTCCTTGACAGTGGAATAGGAGATTCGACAAGTTCATGGCATGCATAAGTTTCATTAGAAGTCAGTTCGACCACTATGTTTACTTCAGATTTCAACCTGGTAATTCATTTGTTATTTTGTTGCTTTATGTGGATGATATTCTAATAGCAAGTAACAATGTTGAAGATGTAATGAAGTTGAAGGCTGAGCTCAATAAGAAGTTCGACATGAAGGATCTGGGAGCTGCGTCTAGGATTCTTGGGATTGACATTCAAAAAGATAGAAAACAGTCGAAATTATGCTTATCTCAAGAGGCATACCTACAGAAGATTCTCGAAAAGTTTGGTATGCCGAATTCAAAGCCTGTTGTGACTCTGACAGACCCTCAATTCAAGATGAGTATAGATCAATATCCCAATACTGATGTCGAAAGAGCTTATATGAATAGAATTTTATATGTTAATATAATGGGTTTTTTTATGTATGTTATGGTCTGTACTAGACCCGACATAGCATATGCAGTAAGTCTTGTAAGCAAGTACATGGAGAATCTTGGAAAGGCTCACTGGAAAGAATTGAAGTGGATTCTAAGGTACATAAATGAGTCTCTGAACTGAGTCCTAACTTATGGTGGAGCCTTGGGTGAAGATAGTAAATCAAAAATCAAAGGATGTGTCGATTCAGATTATGCAGGTTATATAGATTCCAGAAAATCTATTTCTGGATATGTGTTCACTATGTTTGGCATAACAATTAGTTGGAAAGAAACACTTCAGATGGTTGTTGCCTTATGAACCACTGATGTGAAATATATCACCCTAACTGAAGCTGTGAAAGAAGCATTGTGGCTTGAAGGTTTTGCAAAGAAGCTGAAACTTCAAGGTCGAGTTGTCTCTGTTAAATGTGATAGTCAAAGTGCAATACACCTATCAAAGAATTCAGCATATCATGAGTAAACCAAACACATTGATATGAGGATGCATTTCATCAGAGGGGTAATCAAGCATGGAGAAGTCCAAGTGCTGAAGGTTTCAACAGATCATAATGTTGTTGATATGATCGCCAAGATGTTGTCCAGTTGCAAATTTTTCCACTGTATGCAGTTGATAAAGCTGCATGAAGAAAGCTAGTTTATTTCTTGATGGTAGAGTTATATCCAAGGTGGATATTTGTGAGATATTGGATCGAATTCTAGTTAGCATGCCGTCGAAGTTTACTCACATGTTGTAGTCGAAGACCTACATGTTGTAGTCGAATTGTGTTCTAGTATGTAGTTGTCGAATTTGGCCTTGTGTTAAGGATCCAATTGTTTAAGTTAGCTTGTACCCTAAGTTAGCTTGTAATGAGTAATTGTTAAAAATCCCATTAGTTTAGTATGTTAGGTTTTATTATAAATAGCATACTAGTCTCTCATCTTAAGGGTGGTGTGACAAAATCTAATTAGGTTCTTGAGTACTTTTAATATGTTTTATAGAGAAAGTAAAAAATAACAATTATAACCAATCCTTTTTGTTCTTCTTATTTTTCCTTAACCCTAACCCTTGTGCGTTTCTTGATCATAAAGAAACCGAGTATATTTTGTTGTAAGGCATCCTAATTCACAACAGTTCTCAAATATATGTTCTTCTATTTCCTCTTCCACAACAACAACAAATCTCCTTGTTGGATAAATGTTTGATTTATGACCTCTTCCATTACAAATATAACACGTGTCTCTAGTGGGTTTAACATATGGATTATTCTGCCTTTGCCCTGGTGTTATACCCTACTGAACACCACTAGGTCTACTAGTCTCCTTGTTCTCAGAATTGGAATCCCTAGTTGCTACACTATTTTCCTTGTTGCATAATGATTTAAAGTTATTCTGGGGAGAATACCTAAAATATGAGAAATTTCGAAGGGGTTTCTCCATCAACTCTTCCTCCAAAGCTAGACTGGATGGATAAGCCACAATCCATATAGTTTGTAAATTCATCTTATTCTTTAACTCAATAATGTATTGAGCCACTTTATTACTATCTGATTCTCCTAATTCATTGCATTCAAAAAGACGCAGGAAATCAATTATGTATTATGTCACAATTCTCTTGTCTTTAAAACACTAAATATACATATTATAAATAATATATTTATAATCCCTTGGTAAAAACTGCTACAACATCAATTACTTCATTCTTCGCCAAGTTCTGACTGACCCCTTTCTTTGCCTCTACCTCTAAACAACAAGTTTATCCCACTAGACAACAACAATACTCTTTAGCCTGAATGTCACCATTTTAAATTGCTTGTTATTTGGAATGCCCATAACGTTGAAGAACCTATCAACGTCAATATGCCAATCCAAAAACTCCTCCACTCCTATAGTTCCGTAGAATAATGGAATATCAGCCTTCACTCGATAATCATGGTTATATTGTCGATTCCCATGAACAACTACATCTTCCTCGTAGGATTTTTCCTCTTTAGAACTCAAAATTTTCAGCAATAACAACACGATTATTTTCACCTCGCGGAACCTTAATATGTTCTCACCCCTTGTCTCTTCGATAATTCCCATTGTTGTTGTTGGCGTTGTTTATCTGATTTGATAAAGTCGCCATATGTTCAGTCAAAGCAGTTAGAGTCGTGGTTGATCCCAAAGTGGCGATTATTATCTCAAAATATGTTCAGTCAAAGTGGCGATTATTATCTCAAAATATGCTCTGGTCATCGGTTGATCCCTCGTTGTTGATCAAGCTACAAAAAGAAA